AGCCAGTCAGTCTCGGTGCCTAATGCGGTCGAGAATTCAGACTTAATTGTGCCAAATGTCTTGATTCGGATGGGTTCGACTTGGCTTAGATGTACTCACTCCACGTGTACGAGTAGACAATGATTTGTCGACTATATGGTGTTCAGTATTACCCCCAGAACCGATCAGTATGATTAATCAGCGATGCCCGAGAAACAAAGGTCACACGATTTCATCACATTTTCACAAATGCGAGTTGTATTCAAACATGACATGGATTTCGCATGGAATGTGAGGAATGCGTCGAGAAAGGGAATCTGGGGAGTAATTTTTCACCTTTTATCGATCTGGTCCAACCACATTGAACCTCATCAAAATGTGAACACAGAACCATGCTGAGATCTCGTAATCCCAATCCAAATGTACACCTCGAAAACATGTGAAATTCGATCGATTAGTTCGTCTGATTTCCGTACTAAATTATGCCGGATTCATTTTCAACTGGCTGTTCGAATTATGGGTTTAAAGCTTCTCCGATTAAAGATCCGCCAGTTTTCACGGAACTGAAAACTGATAATGCATGGGGCACCCGGTGGCGTATAGCCATGCTGATTGTTGACCATATAGTAGAATGTTATGGTCACAAACGAATCCCCAAAACCCAATTCGTGACTTATTTGGTTCAGATCGTAGCAAATATGTGCTAGAGTTAAACATATTACTGTGATACTTATCTCATTGTGATTGTTTACTTTTCCGGTGGGGAAATTGGTTCGATTCAATTCCCGGAGTATAAGGAGCGAAATAAAAGTGAGTTCTATCAACATACTGGTCTGATATCGATATATGCATACGCAAATACATACAAGAAGAAAACAGAGGAGCTTATCGATAGTTCATAGGGGAAATTCGTCGTGAAAATAGCAAATGAATCGTGAACTGAAAAGCTAGGAAGCACTGGGCAGCTTTTTAGACAAGGTTGAGACTCATCAGCTGCAGTGTGAATCTATTAATCCAACTGGGGATCGAACCTAGGCTCTCACATTCAAGACGCAAGTATGCTACCCACTCGGTTACCGGGCAACTGATCAGACCATTTTTCATTTTCCATTTACACGATATGGTACAACCCGTCTTTGTGAGCTTGTTGCGGTCATTGCGCCTCGCTCATCTCAGCACTAGCCTCCGGGGTTATGACTCGGTTGGAAACACTTACAACCTGATATTGTGTCCGGGTTTTAACGGTATGTGAACTTTTCACGAAGTGAACTAAGACAACCGGAGGAACCTTTCCTGATGAATTTCTTGGTGGCTTTGTGCCACGCAACGTCTATAGTGTACGACTGGGCTTTGAGAAAAGAAAGGGCCAATCTCATTATTTGCAGCCTATCGTTTTGTGGTGGCTCAATGATATTGTATGCACTTATTTGGATGGAAAAGACTGTATCATCAGCCATTCTGCTCCAGATAGGGGAAAAGCTTTTCGATATTGTTAAGGAGCACAACGGGTGTTTTTGGTACCGAAATTGTACACTGCTCTTGAACTCAGGTCTGATCAGGAAATGCGGATTTCACCGTAGTCTTGAGGATACGCTCCCTCTCCCCTCCCCGCTAAACCACAACCAATCATGGAGCTCATGGTTATCAGTTCTGTTGGACACTCAACCAATTAGCTTTTGTCTATTGGTTGCACAAACCGGCAGATGTGACAAATTCGATTGGGGCATTTGTTGTGTGCTGAGATGCATGAAGAGGATTTCCGATATTTCATCTCCCACACAATTTTGACGGTGAATAACATCTTTTTTAGAGTATCAAACTTGGATTAACCTAATCGATTGTTCGAAGGCACCAGGCACTCTTGATGATCTTGGGTGTCGGTTTCATTCCTTTAACGATCGTGTAGCTCGGGGGTATGGGTTTGAATTCTCGACTCAAAATGTTCGCGGTTCAAGTCCGGACAGGGACACAACACGTACACACTACTGACGAGTCCCAAACAGAACGAAACAGCTCTATCCAGTGCGCTCTTTGTCGATTATCACAAACATTTCCAACGCATTTCAGTTAATCTAATCGCTTCTGATACCATTGACAAGCTTGGAGGGGCATAAACTAATAACAAATTGAAAAGTTTCATACTTTTTAGTACCTTTTCCGTTAACAGGTAAAATGCTCACCTATCTCATTTGCATGGTGCTCACAGAAGGAATCGGTTCTGTCTTTCTGGGGTCACCCAGACACATTTTACGATGCATACAAATATGCGACCGTTAGAATTGATCACCGATTGGGGTTATCTTCTTCTTCTGTTCGATTCCCCCTTCGTAGAACGAAAGACAGGCACACGATTGCGCTTCGGTCATTTCAAATCAGATAGTCACACGATCCGAAGTGTTTTCACCACGGAGACATCAAACTGAACTCAGTCAACGAGGTAGCACAATTTGCATATTTGGTGTCTACAATCTCCCCCCCCCCCACTCCCGGAGCACACCACCATATCTGTCGAAAAACAAAACAAAACACTATCTGACAGTAACCAAGCCTCGTTGGACTAGTAGTAGTAGTAGTAGTAGTAGTAGTAGTAGTAGTAGTAGTAGTAGTAGTA